TGCGAAGGATGCGGGCGGTCGAATTGGATATTGTCTTAGGGAGACAAATTCTTTGATGCTATCGACGAATCGCAGCGTTACGATGAGTTCTAGAAGCAGTAATTTGTCGTCTTGTTGGGACTTTTTTGGCTAACTTGTTGTAAAAACGTATGTTTGATAAGTTGTATATTATTTTATATTGATATATATAATATAAAAATTATTATATTATAATACATATTTACAAGATAAAAATAATTTTTTTTTATTATTACCCAACTTAAATACGATTTTTATTAAAATTTTAAATTATATTATTTTTATTTTTATATTATATTATTATATTATATTTAAAAATAATGATATGTAAATATATATATATATATTTAAAACTCATTAAATATTTAAATGAGAACTTTAATTGTTATGGCAATTTTTTACGATAACGACTGATCAGATAAAATTTTGGACAATCTTGGGACATATTTGCTAATTTTAGATTAGAAAATAAAGAATCCAATAACCTAATAATCCAAAATAAAACATTAAAATTTTTTATATTTTTTGTTATTTATTATTACAACAAAAAAAATTTATTTTTTTTTTTAAATATTTGATATACTGCTCATACAATTTTTTAATTTTATAAATGAAATTAATAATATGACATATATTTTATATTTTTAAAAGTAATTTTTTATTTTTAAATATACATTAAAGGTATGTACATCCGATTAATTTAATTTATAAAATTAAAAAAAAACTCAATTATTAATATATTTGATAATTTTTTAATTAAATTTTAAATCATTTTGCATAATTTTTCCTTTATCTCATTAACAAGGTTTTTATATTTTAAATTCAAATCATATTATATAAAATTTGTTTATAATTTTATATTAAATAAAATTTTTTATTAAATAAATGTGACAAGAATTTGGAGTCTAACTCTAAGAATATAATATTAACAACCGTTTACACTTCATTTCAAATGGATAAACGCCAAAACCTTCAGCATTGGTAATGTTCCCAACTTTAAGGTGCTGCAAACATAAGGATCAAATCATAATTTTTTTTAAAGATATGATTATTAAAAAAAAAAATGGCTTGACAATATTTTTATTTTTATTTTTTAGTAGAGATAAAAATTTTATATTTTAATAATGTTAGTGTATCTGTTCAAAGATAATGGCTTGACAATTAATTAATAAAATGGGTCGAACAAATATGATTTTTGGGGCGACAATTTTGACTACGGTTCACATAGAAATATATTAAAGCACCAAAAGAAAAGTCCATGGCGTGCTCAAATAAGGGACCCACTCATAAAATAATAATAATAATAAACGACACTAAGGTTTACAAAAATTGCGGAGAAGATTTTGTGATATTAACCAAAAAAAAAATTCTACCTCAGACGGACCTTTCATTGTAGACGACACCAAAATTGATGTCATTGTTCATGAATGGAAAAAGATTGCAATTTGATTTTGTAATCAACATCACCTTTTCATAATATCAGCAAATTTTATATAAAACTTTATGGGTGAAGTTTGTAAAATTTTTTATGAAAAATAAATAAATTAAAAAATTTCATCATATAAGTTAATAATGTAAATTTTGAAAAAAAAATTTAATAAATTTTGATATATTTATTAAATAAATATTTTTAATAAAAATATTGACATAATTTTTATCGTTAAATAAATATTGATTAAATTTAAATTATAAATAATTTTTAATAATTTTTATTTATTATTGATTTTCACATTTAAATTTATCAATCTATCGATTTAAATTTTTATTAAAATTTTTATTTACTAATTTCTAATAAAAAATTTTCTTATAAAATATTATGTAAAATTTGTTCATTTATGAATATATAATCATTTAATATATAAAGAAAAAAGTGGAAATTGCTTTAATTATTTGAAAAAAAGAAAAAAATAATGAGTTTATTAATATAATTGGTCATGAATCCCTTATTGAACTTATAATATAAAGTTATATATAAAAAATCTATCAAGCTGTTATTTAATAATATTAAAAATTGACTCTAAAATTAAAAATTTTAAATTCGAACTTCAATCATAATTAAAAAAAATATTATATAAAAAAATCTCATAAAACGGCAACATAGAAATAATTGGGGGGGGGGTAATAATGAACTTTTCATATGGTTGATTATCAATGAAACTAAGAATTTTAGAAAAAAAAAATTTTTTAAATGAATTGATCATATTTTTTCGAGAGGACATTCTTTGATCAAATTATAATTTTCTACATTCATTTCCAAAATAAGTGTCAAAGTAAATGACTAAGTCCATGAACCTAAGTCAAGCTTGTACATAAGCATTGCCGGTTAGACATCAAATCAAATTTGTAATAAGTTTTTTAATATAAAAACAAAAATGATAAAAGGTGCGACAAGTGACTAGTTGTTGGATTGAAGGCAAGTAAGGAAATTAATAGATAAGATATGGGTACAGTAAAATATTTTTTTTTATATTATATTCATCTTTGTATTTATATTTAACGAATATTTTAAATTTATTCATATTTTTATTTTTTAAGATATTTAATAGATACGAGGATTCCCCCTACCTATAACTTTTAAAAAAATAATAACTAATTTTTTTAATTATTATCTTATATATTTAGGTATTTTTATAAATATATATTAATTTATATTTTTATAAAAATATATTAATTTTAATTAATTTAAAATAATAATTTATATTATTTAATAATTTTTTATTAAATATATATAAATATATATATATATGATATTAATATTATATTACTTATTTTTATATCTGTATCTAATAAAAATTTAAAATTGTATCAATTATCATCTTCATGCTAATAATGTAATATTTATCCTTATTTTTATTCGAATAAAAAGTTAAAATTTTCATTAAATACAAGTAAAATCGAGTTGTTTATTTTAAATTTGTTTTAGAAATTGAAGACAAGGGGAAAGGAAAGATCCTTTTAGGAATCGAGGAGTCTCTACATCTATCTGTAAACGAAGATGGGCTATTTGTCTCTTTTGGTCTCTCTATTTACTTCATTTACTTCTGAAAGTAGTCTCGTTTTCGAATAATGTGACGGGAGGAAATGAAATTGTATATAATTATGTTTTATCATTGAATTTTAAAATGATATCACGACATGATAATCAGCTCTCGTCTTGTTATCAAATGAATTATAAGTGAGAATATTACAAATATTTAATATATATTTATATATATATATATGGGTTAATTGAACTTTTCCTTGAGTGAACTATTGTCGAAATATTTTTGGAGTTAAAACAAAACCAATAAGATTTAGGGTTAGGGAACAGTTTCAATTAAGATCAAAGTGAAAATTATCTCAAGGCATTATATATAATATTCAATCCTAGTAAACCATGAGAATTTTGCATGGCAATAAAAACTACAAATTCATGGATATCAAGCTATATTTTAAAGATTCTTCTCTATTTTTTAAATTATTTTTAGAGTTTAAATTCAAAATTTTCAATTTTGAAATTATTTTTTATATTTAAATTTATCAAGATTTGATTACTAATAATTGAAAATTAAAAATCTAATATTTTACTGCTGAATTAATAATTTTTAGAAACTTTTTGAGACGTGTAAATAAAACTTGAGTAGATAATATACTTAAAGATATATGAAGATATATATATTTATATATATATAGTAAATGGGGAGCATTTTTTATGAAAAATGGTGGTGATTGGAAGTTCTATAAAGTTTATTAGAACGATGAAATTTGGGGAAGTACTTCTATAATTTCTTTCTAACTTTTGGGTTTTGGAGGGGATGAGATTGGGAAGAAAAAAACAAAAACAACAATGGGAATGGACCAGGAAATTAGAGCGGAAGATGTAACATCAGTGCCTAGTTCAGCAATTTCCAGCACCGAAAATAAGCCATCTAAATCAAACGGGAAGTAAAGTCAGACTTCTCCTGGAAAAATTGCCTTAGCATTGCAACAGAGTTTCCTTTTTCCACAAGGTGAGCTTTTAATGGAAAGAACCACAACCAGGACCATCGGTTTTCTGCCATGCCATCTCGCCTGTGGCGCATCTTTTGTTGCTGCCACTCGTTCTCTCACTGCAAAATTTAGGTTCAAAACCACAGTAGACGAGAAAGATTTGGAAGGAGAAAAACTCTTTCTCTAGCCATCACATCAAAGCGCTAAGGTCCAAACATCTTCAATTAAAAAGATTGGAGAAGTGATGAATTCCTTATATACTGTAGCAAAAGCATATGCATTATGTTTACAAAGACACGTAAATGGTTTGAAGACCTGAGTGGGTGAAAGTGACAGCTCGGAGTCCTGAGGAAATGTTCAAACTCGTGTACAATCATGAACCATTTGGCAGCTAATGCAAGGATTAGATGTCTTCGAACTTTTTACAAACGTGGTTTCTCCTTGCTGGAGTAGTTGTCTTTCCACGTCCTTTATCAATTTTTAGTGTTAAATCCTTGTCCCTGCCCTGTCACTCAACGTGACCGGACCTGGAAGAGAAATGACAGGAACCTAAAGGAATTTACAGGAAATTTGTCACCTCCATGTTCATTTCCGGGTAAAAGAAAAAGCAGTGGCCTAGGATTTAGGAAACTTGGTTGATTTGGATACGAAACATAGGGACTAGGAAGCAGTAGTAAATGGTTTGTGAGACCAAAAAGGTTAGGCAGGGCTTGAGTCAGAAGAAAAGGCTATGAATTTGGCCAAGGTTTGTCACTTGGGTGCCTTTAGTAGTTTGAAAAATATTATTATAGCGACCTAAGCTTCTAGTAAGATTGATGAGATTAAAAATAATAATATAAATTATTATAATTATTTGATTGAAAAAAAATACTGTAATTATTTTTGAAAAAAAATTTTATATTAAATAAATTTTAATAAAATTAATATTTAAATTTAATTGATGACATAACAAACTCAATTACACTAAAAACTGATAAAATCCAAATTCTACTTAAAGTGACATTGTAGTAAATTGAAGTGATATTGTAGGTTTATGACAAGCCCATTCACCTGGAATCAGAAGCCTGAAACGGGAAACAGATGGGCAGGTGATTATACTTTATAGTGGGCTCAGTCATACAGGCAAGATTACAGATTAATCTAAGTAATGCAGGCAAGCTGAATTATGGTAACACGTTACCCTTAGGAGAAGAACTTCTTTACATTCTTTGTTTGCTACTGATACAACACAAAAATAAATACCCGAAAAGAATTACGGGAATGCTTGGCATACAAGGGTTTTAGATACAAAAAGCTACATTATATATTTAATTACAGCATCAAAAAATCAGTTCAGATTAATTTTTGCAGGAAGACATATTCCAGGAGCTTGTTCGTTCACAGCAACACCTTCACATGCAACTAGTTTCACAACAGACTGAGGAGTGAGATTGTACTTCTTTCGAGCCTCAGTAAAGCTCCTCCCAAGCACTCCTTCAAGCCAATCTTCTACCGCTCCCTTTTTGTCTGCTAACCAGGCAGCCGCGAGTATTTGTTCCATGACTTCTTGATCTATCTCTAATGGAACCTCAGATCCAACAGTCGAGTGAAATTGTGATTTGACTTCGTTTACAATTTTATTGGCAAGTCCATCAAAATCAAATGGCCTGAAAAGTATCTTTTTATATACTTGGCTAAAGATTTCTTCCATCCAACCTTCTGAGTTCTCAGAGAGAGACTCACTTTCAGAGTCCCCCAAACCCATGCCCTCATCTGTCTCCTCCACAGGAAGATTCAAATCCAGACAGGATCTGGACGCCTTGTGTACTCGTTCTTGTGTGTCTGTTTTTTCCATCTCGTAAGATTCAACGGTGTCTATCAGCTTTCTTTTATTGACAGACGCAGAAGCGGAAGCTTCTTTTATTGCGGTAACTCTTATGCCTGTGTCGTTGCTTCTGCTGACGTCATCAAAATTAGAACCAACTATGATTTGCATTTGCCAACTTTTGGCTCCAAGTATTCTTTCCTCAGTGAATTTCATGAGTTTTGTCTCACAGAGAACATTTATATTACTTTTTGTGATGGATGATGACGTTATCAGAACCATATTGTTGATGCCGATTTCTCTCCCATGTGAATCGGGAAATTTACCTGTTCTAATAGCCTGGTTCAAACTATGTCGGACAAAATAATCAGCCTTATCTACATTGTCAAGGAAGACAACAGAATGGGGTTTCTTTCTCAACTCCTCAGCAATAAAGTCGGAAACTGTTTTCCCTCTAAACTTCAAATCATAACCATTTAACTCTTGGCATTCAAAAATAGAGTTTGACTGGTTAGCTTTGTCTTGGGAACTCAAATCCACAGATATTAAGTATTCCTGGCTGCCAAATAGTACCTCAGCAAGTGCTAAAGCAATTCTCTTTTTTCCGACTCTGTCAGGACCAAGGAAAGTAAGCCAAATATCCCCTTTATGATTTATGCCATGACGGCTTCCATACCTGCTCCTTAATTGGGATATAGCTTGGCTAACAGAATTTACAGCTTTATCTTGCCAGCCAACTCTTTCAGCAAGAACTTTTCTAATGGACTTGTAATCTCCTTGATCAAACTGCTCTCCTGATGTAAGACCAGAGCATGCCGAAGATTGAGTAAATTGATATGAACTATTCTCACTATTTGCATCAAATTCAGCAGATATAGAACCTGAGAAGCGCTGAAAATGTCCTTTACAATCTAGAGATTTTGTAGTGTTTGATTCCAGACTGGTTGATGCATATATTGTTCCTAACTTCAAATCTGTGGTAACGGGAGAAACAAAAAAGGATGGTGCGCATCCATGACATGAACTCAGATTTTGCTGAGGGTGATAGGTAAACCAGGGCACATCCTTACCTGTCTGCTGAGCTACGCTTGAATCATCAAGTAACCTGGACTGGAAATTCATATTCTGAGCTTCAGAAGTTCGTTCTATCGGTAGGTTATGTCTTGGTAGAAAAATCTTTTGCATGTGCATTTGTCTGCTGGAACATTGATTGGGAAATCGATTTTCATTGATAGATGGATCTTCAGCACTTCTTTGCTTCTTTTCAGTTGCAAACTGAGGGCCCTCAACTAGTGGGACTTGGGACATGGACGGGATAAAATCTAAGTTGGGGAACGGCGGAGTGTGATGGAGACGTTGGCAAATATCATTCCATTTTTTCTGCAACGCCAAAACTTTAGCATTTAACATGGTTTCGCCATCTTCAGTCTGCACTGAATGACAAAGCACATTCTTAAATAAACATAATTATAATTTTATCATGAAATAGAGCATATGACTAATGCCAACAATGGATAAAAAGTAGGTGTACTTGTATATCCTATGCCAAGTCAAAGATTTCAAAAACTGACGTGTTAACCCACCTTTAACACATCCTCTCCCTTGCTTGTGTTAACTGCAGCCATCCATAACCAAGAAGGCAAGTTTTCTGAATACTGATCAACAACTGAAACTGTTGACCCTACCTTCAGAATAGCAGCAACTTCTTGTTCATACTTCTCACTGCAAAGGTTACATCGAGGGATAGATTGGTTTCTGCCATTTAATGGACTTCTCAAATCTGATGGCGTGGGAAAGAAGCCACCAAATGGAACAAAGGACCCCATCAAGCTGTAAATATATCATAAACATGTAACTGTGAGATCCAATGGGTGAAAAACTGTCAGAAGCTAAAGTGCACAGGTTAGTAACATTCATATATCAATGTAACTTAGAATGGCAGAAACTACTAAAGTGCAATCAAATATCATCTATATCTCATACAGTAACACTTAAAACACACATACATTAAGGCATGTTAGAAGCCACTCCTCGGTATCTCATACAGTAAACCATGGATATGGTGCGCTAAAGACAACATTCGATCAAGATGGTCACCAGAGAAAATGAACTTCAGAGCTCTATCTGGTTGATGCTGTCTATAAAAAAAATCAAACCCAGTTTTTGCACCAAAACCTAGAGACGTAAGAACTTAATTCAGTCTTAAGATATTTTATTGAAATACTGCTTCTCCATTTCTTCAACTGATACCGACATCTACACATTAAAGGGACAACTGATGGCTGATAGCCCTGACATAGCTCCGACCATTTATTTTTTATTACCATTATCTTATCAAGTACTACTATTTTGTTTGTTAGTATTATAAAGGACAAAGATTCATTTATTTTATTGAATACATGCACTCACAAGAGTCACAAAACATCAGGGAGGCAAAAACCCCTGAACAGAAGAATTATTTAATAATCTAACACACAAAAAGTAAAAAGCAACTAAAAATAAAGGACATTACATACAAAAAAAAAAAAATGGTGACTCCACTTCCAGAAATTCGTAGAGAAAACTTCAGTTTTTGCAAGAACTAACAAAAAGCAATGAAGCAAAATAAGTACAACAAACAAACATAGTTTCAAATGCATATGAAAGATGTTTGAAGCATCGTAAGCAAAAACCCACCTGGATTTGGAGTGAACCCCATCAAAAAAAATCTTGGAAGAAGTAATAGGCAACATATGCAAATCCCAATCTTTTTCTATATTGGGAAACTTATCGGAAAACTTCCTATACATTTCAACACTAGCCACAGCTCCAATCAACCATAATTTCCTTCTGTAAACTTCCATTAAACCCGTTAATTTCAAAACCAAAGAGCTAACAGAATCGCTTAAAACCCCATCCAAAATCAACCCATTTAAATCCCCAAAATTTATAACCACTCCTCCTTCAGACCCATTACATTTCTGCAAAATGCCTTCCATTTGCTTCAACTTAAACCCAAAATTTTCCTCATTTCCTTCAATAACAAACTCATTAACCTCCTTTTCAATCGAAATCATAATCAACCCAGCCAAATCACCGTCAAAGAAAGGTGAATTTTCTTTTGTAAAACTCTCTGTAAAACCCCTCAAAGCTTCCATAGCACAAACCCCAACAAGCAACGGGCATTTCCCGCTCTTTTTAACCATAACTTTGCCTATCCTTCTACAATTCTCATCAAACCCATCTTCATAACCCGCAAACGGGAAATTGAACCCGACTCGACCCGAAACCGTATCCGTCAAGTTAGACAGAAAAATAGGTGGGCAACGGGTACGTGAAAACCGAGAGGAAACTTGAGTTACCGGCGGGTGAACTAAAGCTAACTTTATGTCACAGCTCCGGAACCCAGCTTCTCCAAAAACCCGACTAACAATCGGGTCATCGAGAATCGATAAAACGAAGTATTTAAGCTCGACCTTCAACAGAGACGTCGTTTGAGAACAACCGCTGGCGTTATTGTTATTATTATTGTTACTGTGTAACTGCTGTAAATAGCAGCTTTCTGGACGGCGCCGTTGATTGGCTTGTGACCGTTTGATTGCGGCCATCAAGGAGTTGGATATCGGAGGGTCCTCGACGGTCTTCAATGAAGATAAACGGTCGAGTGAAACACCGACGCAAAGCTCCAACGCGCGGAATTGGAGCCCAGACGGGTACGCGCTGCTTCGTGCGCGTGCACACGAGTCTCGGAGAGTGGACGACGGGAAGGAAAGCAGCGCCGACACCACGTGGAGTGACGTCGTTTGTGCATGGCTCCTTCGACCCGCTACGGCCACCGCTTCATCTAACGCACGCGCAGCCTCTTCCGTTAAGCATTGCCGAGCTACGGTTACCGCAGTCGGCATCGCCGGCAAGCATAAAAAAAAAAACCCACGACGCCAACAACCAAAAATATATATATTTGATTTTTAATTAATAAAAATGTATTTCAATCAAGGGAGGAAAACTCAAAATCGAAATTAAAAAAAAAAAAAACAAACAAACAACTATTACTACAAAATAAAAATTGTGTTTTTTTGTAATTAGACTGTTGGTGTTTGCGTGTGTGTGGCGTTGTGTAATGGGAGAAGGAACAAACAGATAGTGAGCATAGATTCTTTATCACTCAAAAGAAAGATCTTCTCTCTCACTTTTACTAATCCCAGTTGCAGCATAAATGTATCATTTTTTAGTAATATACTATTTATAGATTTGGGTTTACTTTTGAGAAGGAGATGTGTTGTCCACTGCAGCAAATGGGCCAAACGAAGGAGCGGTGGAGTCTCTGTCGACGCTCTTTTGAGCTTTGAGCCTTGAAACAAGCTTTTCTTTCGAGGAAAGAGAGAAAGAAAACAAAAGAGCATCGATCCAATACACTATTCTCTAGTCTCCACCAACTGTATCCCTGCCGTCGCAGTCATGGAAAAAACTCCAATATTTAAAATGCACAGTACATAGACGCCTTTCTTCCTTCTTGGAAATTTCTCAACTCATCTCTATGAATTATACCTTCATTTTCTATTTTAATATTTGTGTAGTTAAGATATTTTGGGCTTGAAAGCTGCTGCACGACGCCGTGAGCCACTCCTGGCCTCTCATGTTTTATCTTTATTATACTCACGTTTAGAAATCAAGTGTTTTTTTATTTAGAAAAAAAATTTGTATTGTATTTTTTTAGTAGAAAATGTATGATAAATATTAGTGATAAATAATTTAGGTTACTGAGGGGACATTTCCATTTATTAGAATTTGAAATTTTTTATTTAAAGAAGAGGAATGATATTTTATAGATACTGAAGGTTGATTTAGTTGACTGAATTCGTTTTTCTCGTTATAAAATGCTTAGGTTGTTTTGTTGGTGACTCTCCTTGGTGCTATATAAAATGTAGTTAGATGATAGATTGAGAAAAAAATATATAATACTAATTTGAAATTGTAGTATATAATTTAATTTAAATTAATTTTAGATATTAAATTTATATTTAGTACATAAGGTGATATAAAAGATAGAATAATAATTATTTTATATTATATTTAGTTTATGTTTTAAAAAAATGATATGATTACGAGAAGGATTAATCATTTTTTTAATATATGATGATTTAATTTTTTAAAAATTAAGATAATTATTTTTAATTTATAAGATTAAATTTATATGTTTTATTGTAGTTTTAAAAATTATATCACTAATTTAAATTGTATAAATTAACAAAAAAACTTTACTAACTAATAAATTTTTCTATCATAATTCTTGTATGTATTAAATACGATATAATATAATACTATTTAATTTAATGCTAATCATAATATCATTTTACTATATTTTATCATAATTTTAAGCATCAAATGCACTTTAAATGTATATATTAAATTCAAATTGAAATGTGAAAATTGAAAAAAATGGAATGAACCAAATTATATATATATATTTTAGATTTTTTTAAAATTTTTATAAAATAAAGTAATTATTTTATGTATAAATTTCTTTAAATATATTAAAAATTATATTAAAATAATATATAAAAATAAAAAATTTCAAATTTAAAAACAATTAACATAATCGATAAAACTTATTTAGATCCAATTGATTTTAAAAAAATATCGATTCAAATTTAAATCAAATTTTAAAAATGATAATATTATACATTATTGAAAAATATTAAATCTAATTTAATTCGATCTGAACTATTATTATCTTAAATTATATATCTTAATTTTAAAAAATACACATCTAATTTTGATTTGGTGTTATAAAAACAGATTATCTTTTATTGTTATATATTTAAAGACACTATAAAAGATAAAGATGGATGAAAAAATCCAATATTCATGGGTGGGGTTTGAATTAGGTGATGCAATAATTTGACATGAATGAGGCAGGAAATCATGCTAAACTTTGTTATTGAATTGATTTTTATATAGAGTTTAATTGATACGAAGCTTTTCATAATACCAAAAAAGAAATGGAGGAGAGAGAGAAAAAAAAGATGCAAAAACGTTAAGTTGACACAATTCCATGCCAATTAGCCACTCCTTGGTAACGGGTCATTGTCAGATGGGACCCAAACTAGAGGGTCCCCCTTCCATTGATTGGTCCATATGGTCACGTGCAAGGCAGGTAGGTCCAGTCCTTTTATGCCCTTTACTCTAAACTAATGGGAAACTGCAACGTGGAATGAACTAATCATGAGTGAATGTAGATGATTGTTTCTCTGTTGAGGATAGCTCCGAATGGAAGAGAACCAATTGAAGTTCAATTGTTTTTCTGTCTCTCCTCGTCTCAATGCAAAAAGGTGTTTGATTTTACGTTCCCTTTTCGTTTGTTCCCTACTATTTTTCTTTTTATTTTCTTTTCTTTCCAGTTTCCCAACATCTTTTTTTTTTAAATAGGAAATGCCCAAGAAATATTATTCATTCCGCTTTGGTAAATTTCCATTCTAATTGTACCTTTTGTGCTAAAGTTTTAATTTTATTATATTAGTTTGCATAAGTGAATAAGAAAATTTAAATTCCAAAATTTTATTTTAAAAAATATATGTGATTACCGACGCAACAATTTACATCGAAATTAAATGGTTCTAAGTATTTTTTCAAAAGATGATTAATTAAAAATTTATTGTATTTTTAATAACAATTTATAATCTATGGCTTTTTTTAAAGTTCAATAAATTCAATTGTAGAATATTTTATTTTAATATAAAATTTTAATATATTTAAATAATTTTTCATATAAAATTATTTTATTTTATAAAAATTTAATATATATATATTAATAAAAAAATATTATTTGAGACATTGTTTTTTTTTTCAAAAACTCGTCGTGTGACAGCTTGGGTTACTCAACCCAACTTGCAATCCTCACCGCAGCACTGGACAAACCACGTAGCATCGACAAACAGGGCGTGAGAGGAAGGGTGGCAATCATGGAAGCTGAAAAGGTAGAGAATATCTAAAGTAGCTTTTGTTGAACCTCTCTTTCTTCATAAAGTAGCTTTTGCTCGACACCAAAAAAAATTTGTCGGCCCTCTACCATTTTGTTTTTTCTATTTTCAGACCACGCTAAACGACAAACAATCTGGGATCTTGCTTTTGCTACTTTATATTTTCTTCACAAGCTTGTCATTGATTGGTTAATGTCATAACATAATATGTTCGGATACAGTAAGATTTACTAACATGTAGATTTTTTATATTTGAATTTATCAAGATTAAGTGTTCATTTGAACGAGTAATGAATTAATTTTGATGAAATTAAAAATAATAATAAAATTAAAATTAATTATTATAATGATAAAATTAAAATTAATAATAAAAAAATATATTTAAATATAAATATAACGATGATAGTGAGTTAATAATGTAATATGAAAAAATGTGATTGACTTTGAACAGATTTGAGTAAAAATTCAAAGTAATTAAATTAAACCCACTAATAAGAAAAAAAAAAAAGAGTTGTGTGTTTAATACAACTTCAACGGTAGGATGGGCACTCGATCATTTGATGTGACACCATTTTTCTAAATGGAAAAAACAGGATTTCAATGGGGAAGGGAGGGATGAAGAAAATTACTATGAAAGATGAAAATGAACATGGGTCGGTGTGTGTGTGGGGAGTGTCGACCAATATGTATATTTTCTTTTATCAGAGGGAAGCAATGCTCCTTGTTTAATGGGTTGCTGGATTTGTAAGATTCTCCGTAACACATTCAACCTTCCACTGAAATATGAAGCTGAAAAGTGAAAACTACTACTACAAATGAAAGCATATTTGGGTATAGTGCCAAAATACTGAAGCCCCTCTTCAGTTAGCTATTTGGGATGATGGACTTTTATAAGATGGTGCTATTTTTTATTTTAATATGGTTATTGATATCATTTTCAACATCGATAATTTAAAAGAAATCAGACATTATTTTTGAATTTATTATGATAAATATTAATTTAAATATATAAAAATTTATAATATAAAATAATTATTAATGATTTTGAAAGGAAAGTTTTAATCTATATATTTTTTTGTATAATATTTATTATTGTTAATTTTACATATGATTTTATCTCAATGATAAAATTTTTTCATCTTTTTATGTGAGAATTAGATCATCCTCTAAAATAATGATCTAATTACTTTCTGTAATTCAAAATCAACGTCATATAAAATCACAAGTGATTATCAAATTAAATTCAATAATCTAATCACTATTAATAGATTACCATTAATTTTTGAATAATCATCCCACATCAAACATTACCTAAATCCTTCCAAACAAAAGAAAAAAGTTTAAAGTAAATAATTAAGAGCAATTGTTTAGAAAGAGGAAGATTTGAGATTATCTAGAAGACATCATGTTTATTAATGTAATTCTTATTTTGGTGATCGAAAGACTCACTAAAAGATAAAATGGAGAATGTGCCCGACTTATTGTAAAGAATAAGATCAAAGGATGCCAAAGATAATATTTTGAGACACATTTTGATGTTCAAATTAGTCAAGTATACGAGGGAAGCAATAGAAAGCATAAAATAACAAAAGAAAGCAAAGAGAGAGTTAAATAGTATTTTTCATGCATGATTTAATTCTTCTTTTTATATCTCATAGATGATAACATAACTAGTTGAATAACAATAAGTAAGCCCTAATTAATGTGAGTCATAATCTTGTTGATACGATGATTAAAATATAATAATATCAAAAATTATAAAATAATACACTTTCTATCTCAAATTATTTCGATGTTATTGATTATTACAGAGTTTAAAAAAAAATTTTGATTTCAATGTATTTAATATTAAATTTTAAATTTTTTTATAAAATTCAAATTTCGAGATTTTTAATGTCAAAAAATAAAAAATATTATAAAATAATTTTAAAATATAAAAAATAAAAATTTTAAATATTAAAAAAAAAGAGAATATAATTTTAAGATATACAAAAATGAAAAAAAAAAAAAAAAAAAAAGAGACGGAAGGAGCACTATCTTTACGAGAAACAAAGATAACATATGAAAGACCTAGCTAGATTTGTTTAAAAGGCATATTCAAATTGTTTTAAACACCCATAAACATTTTGTTAAAACTAGTTTAAGGCATGCTGATTTACACATGAAAAGTTATTACTAAAAATAGGATCAAACAATCTTTTTTTAGTCACTTGAACTTAAATTAAGCAGCAACCTGTTAAGGAATTGACAAAGTTTGAAGTAAAATTTTACTTACTTTTGTAGCAATAAGAGTTTTAATATATAAATATTGTACCTACACATTACTCACATGAAATTGATAAATAAGTTGAATATTTAATATTAGACGAATATTTTGGATCGGATTAATTTTTTTTATTTATAATTTCAAAGAATTCGTTTGAAAAAATTCGAAGTTGCTATGTAAAATATTAAATCCTCGTGCTTAATTCGTACGGTAATTTGGGTTCTATTCCTTTTATAAAAATAAAAAACCTCGAAAACTAACTGTAAAAATAATTATATTTATTTTTTTAATAGAAGAAATTTTGTTAATTATAAGAAGCAAAAAAAAAAAAAGAAGTTATTTTGGAGTCGTTTTTGAGCAGGCTCAGTTCGTAATGAGATCCTAATGGCCCTATCTCAATGCCTGGGCTCAACAAAATTAATCTTCACTGCCTAAGCCCAAGTTAAACAATAAGCAAAGAAATCCAAAACAACCCTAAAAGGCTAAAACCTCGGAAGGGCAAAAACCCTGAGTTCAACTAATCTCAGTTTATCAGATTCGCTTCTTCTTCATCGTTCTTGTTGTTGTCGTTGTTGTTTTTTAAGGTTGTTTGTGAGCTTGTTATTACCAGAAATGAGGATTGCTCGAGTTCTGTTGGGTTCACTCGAAGGTGGGTTACCACGCCCACGCCCATGTCAGCATCCCCGAATTGTCAGATTTCTCTCAACAGGTTCATTTTCAAATACCTTCTTTTTTTCCTTTGCAAATTTCTTTAAAAAAATTTCCCTTAAATCACAATTTTGTTTGTTTATCATAAAATAGGGAATGGGTTTGATGGGCAGCACCCAAATTCCAACTCATTTGAGTCAGCCGATGAATTTGAACGGAGGATTTTTGGTGGGTTTTCTGTGGATAGTCCAAAGGCTCAATCTTTTTACGAAAAGCTTGATAGACTTGAGAGGTCACGTGGCCGTTCCGGTTCTCCAATGGGTAGTGAAGATGAGTCTGCAATGGATGGCTTGGACGAGAGTTTCAATACATTATCGGATGGAATGGATGGGAAATTGAAGAAAGCGGCCACTTACTTCAAGTTCGATAAAGGTGAAATTGAGAAGGATGATTATGCTTTTCGACCAGATGTTAGCTTTCAATCTGGAATGAAGTATGAACTTAAGGTTTGTTTTTTTTGGCAATCTTTGTTTCTTATTAATATCATGATTAAGGATTTTTGGAAACTGAAGCCAGAATTTGATCTTTCTTATTTGTCATTCACGTATTTCTTGCTTATAGCCAAGCTTTGACGTAGGTGTTTCTGTTATGATTCCGATTGAGTTAAATAAACGATCAATTGACTTGATGCGGGAATGTGTTTTGCAAAGTTAAAGGGTGTCAAAGAACGAGTAGTTAGAAAACAATGATTTTATGAGGTTCATGAATGATTAGTTAGTAAAACTTAGAGAAATTTCTGATTCATTATGCTTACATGTTCAATCTATAATTCCTGGTCTTTTCCGCTAATTGTTTGTCCTTAAGATCAGGATGTGTTCTGGAGGTGATGTTTTGAAGCACTTTAGAATGGTTGATAGTGTTCATTTGCAGTTTGGAGAATTATTTTGCATGATTTATCATATTTACAGGGATAAACGAAACTCTGAATGGTCTTAAAAGTCATTTTTTTGAATGAAATTAATTTAATTCCTAAGAAACCAAGGATAGAAGTATAACCTACATTACATCTTTCTATCTATACCTCATTGGATATCATCAGGGTATGATACAATAGTCCAACCCAATCTATCAAACAAACTAAAGCAAAAGTCTGCAAAACCATTGGCTTTCTCAGGCCTACCTCTGATAGAAGAAAACCTCCCTTCATTGGCTTTCACAGGCTACAACTAGTTTTAATTCATTGTTTAAAGACAAATTTTGATAGAAAAACATAAAGCTTACAGCGTAGATATGTACCCATAAATGACTAATCAATACAAAATCATAGCATGTAGCTTTAATGCAAAAAAGAAATCTTTGAATGTGCAGATTCGTTATGCTTTGCAGTGTCTGGAAATCATTATAAATAGTCATATGCTGCTATTCCTTTGTGGTTTTGGTATGCTAACAGTTACATTATCGTTTCATTCAAATTCTGTGGCATAATGCAGGATCTTGATCTTAGAAGGCCAGGAGTACGTAAACCTGCCCAAAACATCAAATTTGATGTAACTACGGAGGAAGTACTGAGAAAAGCCGATTTCAGGGTGAGCCTATCAGAATTTAACATCACCTTTTATTTTCTGAGTCTAAGCAGAAATGCATTCTTGTTTTGTAAGTTCTGTAAGTAAGGCAAGTAAGAAAGAAGAGGGGGAGGTGGAGGGAAAAGGGCAGGCGAATTTGAGATTTTCAAATCCTTGCTTCCAAATTCTAGATAGTTCAGATGTGACTTTTAGCCTACTTTTGGCTGATGTAGTACTTATGACGTGATTATTCATCTATGATAGCAAACTTAATCTATCTTTTATCAATTTATTGTTTTTTAAGTTCTCTGCAATAGTAATTTTTTTGAATATTGTTTCATGTTGTTTCTACCTATTTGTTACTTCATTTGCCAGCATTTACTTACTATTACTACTAATGATACATGTGGGCAGAATGTCAGATTCCTGGCAAACTTTATAACAGAGGCTGGAATTATTATAAAGAGGAGCTCGGTAATTTCTAGTGCTGACTCTATTTATTTGTTTTGCTCACCTTGGTAGATTATGGATTTTCCTTTATGTATAAACTTTTAGTTCATCTTGTAGACTGGTATTAGTGCCAAGGCCCAGAGGAAGGTTGCCAGGGAGATCAAGACTGCCAGAGCGTTTGGTTTGATGCCTTTTACAACAATGGGAACAAAGTCGTTTGTTTTCGGAAAATCTATGGAAGCTGTTGATGAAGATTATGAATATGAGACTTTTGATAGTGGCATGACTGCTGATGCAGACGAAAAAGATCCTCTTCGAGGCTAAAAGCTTGGGCTGAGATTTGAATCTAGAATAGTTTCATTTCCTGGTATCCTACTATTTGGTTCAAGTCCCATCTCAGCTTGCTGCAGCTGAAATTGGCATCATAGTAAGATGTGATTGGTGCCATTGAGGATGCACATATGTTAGCATTTCTGATTTTCTTGAAGTATACACTGCATTTACTATCAGATTAGTTGGCATGATTATATCAATGTTGTAAGAAATTACATATTATGAGATGCTTATTATGACCCACCCTTTTATATATTATGAGATACTTATTCCTTGGAGTGAACTTACAAAAAGTTGGTTGGGATGCTTATTCCTTGGAGTGAACATACAAAAAGTTGGTTTACAAATGAGAATATTCATGAGAAGTAAACTCTAGTCAATGAATCGATGAAAGAAATGGTGCAGGCTCTAATTTTTTGACCTATCTTGAGCTGAGTAATTTGAACAAAGTGAAGAATGTTTAGCGAAAAATGATACAAAAATCAGTTGAAGTTGATGGTGAAAAATGTATACACATTGTCTTTTGGTCTTTGGTATGGCTTCATGTTCTACGTGAACCATACGGGCAAAATAAATTTTTATTTGGTGATTTATATTCAAATAAAATTTATTTTCAATAAAAGAGTAACTTATATGATAAAAATTTATTTAAATATAAATTAATGATTAATAACTTAATTGGATGCAATATAAATATAAAAATTTATCTTAATAAAATAATAAATTTAAAAAGTTTTTTTTGTTATTTTAATCAAATAATATTAATGAAATAAATTTTTTTTTCTCAAGATTCGTTGGATGATTCTTTGTACGAATATAATTGTTTATCTGAACTTAAAATTTAATATAATTGATTTATCTAATTATATATTTAATAATTCTTACGGTTAAATTTCAGTATTATAACTTTTTTTTTCATTTTTTTATAAAAAATTTCATATGTCCCACCGGTGAGACTGTTCACAAAAAAAATCCAAAATATCAGTGAGACCAAAATTTCATTGGCATTGGCAGATCACCGAGCATAGCGTTAATCCAAAACATTAAAGAATAAGATAAGATTAGGTTTAAGTCACTGTCACATAGGCATCAACTTGGCAAGATTTTTATTTCCTTGATTGACTAAATCAAAGCAACCATTAATTATTAAAGCAACCAAAACGTGAACCATACAAATTCTAGAAAGAAAGAATCAAAATTTGCAGACACAAATGGCAGACGCCATAGATGCATTCATTAATGATTGATTCAATAGTTCACTCCAAACAACATTCAAGCTAGCAGCTTTCCCTTCCGGGCTTCCACTTTCACAAAGGACTCCAGACAAAAGCAACCACTATTTATATAATTTAACAACAGATCAAACTCGCCATGAAGCAGCAGCAAAATCCTTAGAAAAAGGAATCGCCAAAACCCTGGCTGTGTTATTTATGAGAAGCTCTATTACACAACACACAGATAGCATAGACCCTACTTAATCTTAAATTATTACAGGCTCATTTGTTGCTTTGTCTTTGGCATGCCCAATTTTTGTGCTTCAGCTAACAGTTGCATGGATCACAAGTGCAGTTTGATCCACACTTGCATCCGTTCCCTGATTCAGAGCTCATCTCGGGCCCCTCAAAGTTCCTGCAAGTTATTAAACCATGGTTTCAGTTTTTCTTAATTTCTATTAAAACATCAAACAAAACTTTGGTTTGCTGGAATAGAATTCTAATCTTGGTACTGACGTCTTCACTGTCGCAACTCCGGAGATGATGGTCTCAGTGGTAGTCTTCTCTGAGTGTCCCAAGTTAAGGTTCCTGCTGCATCTGTAATATTGACAGGCAAAAATTGAAAAAAAACAGTTTCAAATTTGTTCTATTTCTTATCAAAATAAACATGCATGCGTATACACATATACACATATACACATATGACATGCCAAAAAAAGCAAGAAATACTAGTAACAAATAGAATTATTACGAGCAGCTATCGCCGCACTTGCAGCCAGAACCGCAGCTGCAACCTGAAGACATTTTTTTTCCTGAGAAAGTGGAGGAGATTGGGAAATCTTGTAATAGGAAATCAATACACAGACGCAAGCTCAAGAGTCAAGGGTGAGTTTTACAAGAAAAATGGACTGGTATTTATAGTGGAATCACGAAAGGGAGAGTGGATATCCACCGTACACTTGGCAAAATCCTGGATAATTGCGTCATTGGAATTGTACGAGTGCATCAGCCAGTTCCCCTCGACAAGGCTTTCTCATCTCCCCTGGATCCTTCTTGGATCTTTGTAAGCAGAAAAAACTACTTTAATTTGCAAAAATAGTCATTTTCACTTGTTCATATTTTTCCAATTAATTCTAATCCATCAACTGTAGGAATACTGAAATTTCGTGTATGTGATGACAATGAATTGATTGATTTGAATATGATGAAAATAAAATAGAAAAAGCAAAGTTGACTAAATCAAGTTGGGTCGTTGAGAAGAGCTAGTGAAATTAAAGGCATGAAGCATGCGGTAGTTAAGATACATTACTTGTAGATATCAAAGTGATGAAACCTTTGAAACATTCTTCTTGCATACATCAGGTTGCAACTTGAAAATAAAAATCAGAATTTTCTACATATACTAACTAGTAAAGGGTGTGCATTGCAAATGGGTCTTGTATAATAGAGGAGGGAGTAGGAATGATGTCAAAACGACATAAATGACTTTATAACTAATCCACACTTACGTTTTGTATACTAAGTGAGTTTGATTTCTCATCACCATTTACAAGCATTCTAAGACCAGCTTTCAGCTCTGATATTCCTTCCTCCAGCACTGCACAGACTCGATATATAGGAATGCCTTGTACCCTTCTTTCCAACTCTTCAAACACTTCCTCAGCCCCAGTCTCATCGATTTTATTTGCTACTACCAAGGATGGTCGATTGGAGAGACCTTCCTGATGGTGCTCAAGCTCTAAGACTAAATCTTTCAGTTGTTCCCACGGTGAAATTCCTTTCCTACCATCTAATGCAGCAGCCAAGTCTACAACATACGCCAAAACCTTAGTACGTTCTATGTGGCGGAGGAAAGCATGTCCAAGTCCACGATTCTGGTGAGCACCCTTTATTAATCCTGGAATATCAGCCACTGTAATTGAGAAGTCATCAAAGTTCAAATTCCCTAAATTTGGCCTCAGAGTCGTGAAGGCATAGTGGCCTATTGCAGGCTTAGCCCTAGAGATAGCCCCTAGAAGAGTACTTTTACCAGCATTGGGCATCCCCACAAGGCCCACATCAGCAATGCTCTTAAGTTCTAGCACAAGAACAGCTTCAGAACCAGGCAAACCAGTACGAAGGGAGGATTGATCACCATTTGATGCTTCATCCTCAAATGCATTATCCCTCCGGACTTTATAGTTTATATTCTTAGGCTTCATTGAAACATTCGGGTAACATATATTACCTAAACCACCTTCCCCTCCATAAGCAACAATCATTCGCTGACCTTGCTCTGTTAATTCTGCCATATTATACCTAATTTCTTCCAAAGCTTCTGATTGAGGCCCATTTGCTTGCTTCATGCCTCTTGATTGGTCCACAGTTATTTTGCTTCTTAAAGAATATTGCTCCACAGTTATTTCAGTACAAGATGACAACTGACCAGCAGCATGAGCTGATTTGACTTTTTCTGCGATACTTGAATTCTTAGAGGAAGATTGCTGATCAACTTCAGATTGGTCAGTAGCAAGTGTACCTGGGAGTTCCCATGGATCTGAATCGTTTGAAGAACAATGTTCAACCATGGATGGCATTTCACCCTTTTTCAGATGAATTACAGTACCAATAGGCACTTGGAGAACCTGCCACACGTAAGAATTCTCAATTCCAATTGGTTAAATAGAACACATAAGTGGATAACACAATGTCAGAAGTAAAGAAAGGAGCTTGGAAGTATTAACCTTGTCTTCTCCACGAGTTCCTATCTTGTTCTTTGACGTTCCATGTCCACCTCTACCCGCATTCTATAGAGAATCACAAATATCACACAGTTCACAGTCGGTGAAAGCCACTGAATGAAGACAAGAGAGAGAGAGGATAACATACAACATGATTTTGCAGACCACTGAAGTCCCAAACTGCAGTGGAACATTCTAGAATCACATCACCACCTCTTCCACCATTCCCACCTACATTAAGTCCATTGAACATCAGAAACAAAAGTAGTAACAAATATAAAACTTTCCCCGAAGTTTTACCAAGTTAAAACACTCATTATCACCAAAATGACATGAATTCACAATCATCACAATTCTTAATTCCATGTGTGCTCGCATGAGTACATATGTGTACTATGAATGAAAAAACTGGTATGTAAATGAAAAAATGGTTACAGACAGGAAACGTTGAGAGAAAACTCACCATCAGGTTTACCACGACGATCGTATCGGCTACGCCGAAAACTGGTGGAGCCATTACCACCATCACCTCCTTTGGCATAGAGATTAAACCTGTCTCTCATTCTAGTCTCCTGCAAAGAGAGGCCCATAAAACGTCAGATATCAAACACAAGTCTTAAGTATAAGGTTCAAATCCCTGAAAGTTTGCAAATGAGATAAGATACATGGCAAACCTGTAAAGGGGTCTTCTTGTGAGGAACGTCCGAGTAAGAAAGCAAAGAGAAAATGTAGCATTTCGTACATCTTCTAATGGTTTGTAATTGCAAAATAGGCTTTGCTCGGCCCATCCACATTTTTCGTCTCGATAAGTTTCAGAAATTCATTACTTCAACTAAGAATGATGATATAAATGCGAAATAGAAGGCGTTAGTAAGATTTTTTCTTTTTTTTTTATTCAAGCATTTTATCAAATAGTTAATGTTCATAGTTTCACAAAATAAATAAATGTACTTTCTGTCAGCTTAAGCCTTGAACCGTTTACCTTCAATTTGGGTTGGTGGCTTGGTGATGGCCGGATACTACTAAAACATGGAAACCTGTTATTCGGACGAAGGATTCCCAGGCGTTCAATTCTCAGGCGGCGAAAACCGTGGAGTCGAAACTCGAGAGGATGGTGATTTGTGGGTGAAATGAAACGAAATGACTAGCCATTACTGGCCCAATTGGAAAAAGAATGTGCTGGTCTTTGCCCAAGGATTGCTACGTTTACTATCGCACTAACAATATGGGGATTGAAAGGTGGCCCAAAAAGTAAATAGGCCCAAAATATATTACTATTGTTGCTTCCGATGGTGATATTTACCGAGCTTTGCTGAATTGGTGGGATCCTGTTTTTCACGTAAATGGTCTTGAATTCGAGTTCAGTTGCTGATAATTTTTTTTTGGGTTCATCTTAAATGTATAATTTACTTAGGTTGTAGGGTACAATATATATATCTTGCATTAACATGAGAAATTGAATAATCTAATTTTTCCATATATTTTTTGTAAAAAAATAGAATATAATGAGTATTTACAGATGAATTTACCATTTGAACACAGATTGTGCATTGAATTTACATACGTACACGGTTAGAAAACCAGAAGTCAAAGAAGGACTGATTGATGAACATGGAATTATAATTGAACTTGTTGTCATTGAAGATGGTGTTAGGAAAATGGAATTCAGTCTCATGTAAGTGGTTTTGGATCAAATAAAGGTCATGGGCCTTGATCTTTCATTTTACACAGAGCCCTAGCTACTTAATAAAAAAGAGGTAGTGTTGTTTTAAGTGTGTGTCGAAAATCAAGTAGAGAAAGAAGAAAAATCAGGAAAAGTAGAAAGAAAAAGGAGAAGGGAGAGTTGGTTGAACGGAAGTCGATTCGTGGTTCGATTGAGTTGGAACCTTGTCAGGAGGTTTATGATTCAGAGTTATACATTCTGAATGGTGAAGATCGGGTTTGAAGCTCTCTAAGAACAAATCCAGGGTGTATTTGTTAAGTCACTTATTTGGTGTGATTTCTCCAATTTTTCTCTAGTTGTTGATTAGCTCTAGTTTTAGTTAGAGAAGAACTTTGTATATATATTATTTGATAGTGAAGATTTTTCTGGTGGTCCGTGATTTTTTTTCCTCTACACTGGAGGGTTTTTTATGTAAATCTTGGTGTGCTTTATTTTTCCTACGTATTTGATTATTGATTGTTGTCTATTACTTCTGTATTGTTGTGATTATTGCTTCAGGCGCAACAAGTGATATCAGAGCGAGGGTTATTTTGAGATATCGATACAGAAGCAATCCAGGATAGAAGTAAATTCTGTTTGAGATCATGAAGGGTGATACAGGTTCCATGATAAAATTGACAGCATCAAATTATTCAATTTGAAAGCCTATGATGGAGGATCATCTATACTGCAAAGATTTGTAAGAGCTAGTATTAGGTGATTCGATTAAATCAACAGATATGAAAGATGAAAGCTGGAAGAAGCTAGGTAGAAAGACGCTGACTACAATAAGAAAATGGGTTGATATCAGTGTGTTCCATCATGTAGCGCAAGAGTCAGATGCTCACATTGTTTGAAAAAAATTGACAAGCATTGTATGAGAGAAAAACAGGTATGAATAAAGTTATACTTGTTAAAAAACTTGTAACTTTATAGTACAGGGATGGACGATCTGTTACAGAGCACTTGAGTGATTTTTAAGATATATTTAATCGGATGACTACTATGGAGCTTAAGATGGATGATGAAATGAAGGCGTTATTTCTTTTGGGTTCATTGCTGGACAGTTGAAATACTCTAGTTGTGACTGTTCTTAATTCAGCTCCTAATTATAAGGTGACATTGAAGATGATAAAAGACAGTATGCTTAATGAAGAAGCAAGACGAAAAGATGTAGATCATGAGAATCAAGCTCTAGTCATAGAGAACAGGGGTAGAAACATCGACAGATGTTAGGACTCAAAAAGTCATGGTAAGTCTAAACATAGATCCAAGTCTAGAGGTAAAGTGAAGTGTTTTTATTGTGGTAAGGCGGGTCATATAAAATGAAACTGTAAAATCTTGAAACAAGAGCGAAAAGATGAGAAAGACAAGAGTTCAGATGATGGCAATATTACAACAGTAAATTCAGATAGTGATTCAGTTACTTTAATTTATACACATGATGATTGTAATCATGTTAGTGATCCCGACATTAAGTGGATAGTTGACACAGGAGCGACATATCATTGTGATTCTAAAAGAGAGTTATTTACAACTTACAAAGCAGGAGACTTTGGTTGTATCAAGATGAAAAATAAAAGTGTGTCGTAGATTGTTAAGATTGGTGATATTATTGTACAAACTAGTACAAGCTACATGTTAACTTTGAGGGATGTCAGACACATTTCAGATATGAGAATGAACTTGCTTACTATTAATGTCTTTGATAAAGAGGGATATGAAAGCCGACAAAAGAATAGACAGTGAAAGCTTCTCAAATGATCTATGGTAGTTGTAAGGAAAAAACTATGTTACACAATGTATAAGATATGGATGCAATTGAACGGTAACCAGGTAAATACCATTGAAAATGATACTTCAGTAAACTTGTGACACAAGAGGCTGGCACACATGAGTGAAAAAGGGTTACAGATTTTGGCAAGGCACTCTCTCATTCCGTTGACCAAAGTTATATCTCTCGATTCATGTGATTATTGTTTGTTTGGTAAGTATCATAGAGTTTTTTTTCGTAAAAGTTCTCAAAAAAAAGAAAATAAATTAGAATTAATTTATTCTGACGTATGTGGTCCCATTGAGGTTGAGTCATTAGGTGGTAGCAGATATTTTGATACTTTTATTAATGATGCTTCACGTAAGACTTGGGTGTATATGTGAAATACAAAAGTCAGGTACTGCAGTATTTTTAAAAATTTTATGTCATGATTGAAAGGATGACAGGATTATCCTTGAAGTGTATTCGAACTGATAATGGTGAGAAATACACATCTAAAGGCTTTGAAGAGTATTGCTCAAAGCATGAGATCAGGTATGAGAGGACAGAACCTAAAACACCGTAGCATAATGGTATAGCTGAAAGAATGAATCGTATCATTGTGGAAAAAGTCAGATGTATGTTGAGGATAGTAAAATTATCAAAGCCATTCTGGGGTGAAGCAGTCAACATAACTTGTTATTTACTTAACAGGTCACCATCAGTTCCTTTAGGCTTTTACATTTCAAAAAAAGTGTGGACATGGAAAGATACTTCATACTCTCACTTAAAAGTTTTTGGGTATAAAACATTCATGCATGTGTCGAAAGAGTAGAGATCAAAGCTTAATAGTAAAGTCACATAATGTGTGTTTGTAGGATATGGTGATGAAGAATTTGGTTACAGAGTATGAGATCCAGTAAAGAGAAAGACAGTCAAAAGTAGAGATGTGATCTTTCATGAAAAAAAAAACTATAATAGATCTTGAGAAAAATGAGAAGATTACACGAGTTACTGTTGAGTGTGATGTTTCAACACAGACAGGAATTCCACAGGAAAGAGCCACAGATGGTGAAAATGAGCAAGAAATAGAATTTAGGGATATGAATGAGCCAATCACAGATGGTGATGAGCCATATGCTATTAGTTTTGAGCAAGAGGAGCAATCCTCTCTACCTGAGAGTGTTGAGTAGGGGGAGCTACCTTCGGCATCAAGTGATGTAGAGTCTCAGCCCAAGAGATCTATTAGAGAGCGCAGGTCATCTACCAGGTATCCAAGTTCATATTTGATTTTAGTTACCAGTGAAAGGGAGTCAGAAAGCTTTCAAGATGTATAGGCTACTCCGGATAGAGAGCACTGGTTAAAAGTAATGAAAGAAGAAATGGAGTCATTGCGAAAGAATGGTACTTATGATCTTGTTAAACTTCTAACAGGGAAAAGGCCATTAAAGAATAAATGGGTGTTCAAGTTGAAAAATGATGGTGACAAACTAGTAAGGTAAACAGCTCAATTGGTAGTAAAATATTTTTCTCAGAAACAGGCATCGATTTTGATGAGATTTTTGTTCCAGTTGTAAAAATGAGTTCTATTCGTGTGGTACTGGAATTGGCAGCTAGCTTGAATTTTAAGCTTGAGCAACTTGATGTTAAAACTATATTTTTACATGGTGATTTGCAGGAGGACATTTATATGAATCAGCCTAAGGGTTTTGAAATAAAAGAGAAAAAACACTTAGTTTGTAAATTGAAAAAAAGTTTGTATGGCTTGAAACAAGCTCCACGACAGTGGTACAAAAAGTTTGATTCTTTTATGGTGAGTCATAGCTATAAAAGAATAGCAGCGTATTCTTGTGTGTATGTTAAACAATTTCCTAATGGTAACTTCATTATCCTATTATTATATGCTGATGATATGTTGATTGTAAGACAAGATGCTAGTATGATTTAAAGGTTGAAAGAATAATTGTCTAAGTTCTTTGATATGAAAGATTTAGGTCAAGCAAAACAGATTATTGGTATGGACATTATCCGGGATAGGAGAGTTGGAAAGCTATGGTTGTCACAAGAAAAGTATGTTGAACGAGTGCTTGGTAGATTCAACATGCAACATGCTAAATCAGTTAGCAGTTCACTTGCCAACCATTTTTATCTAAGTAAAAAATCTTGTCCAGTATCTAAGGAAGAGCAACTAGCTATGTCTAGTATTTTTTATTCTTCTGTAGTCAATTTTTTAATGTATCTTATGGTTTGTACAAGGCCTGACATTGCTCATGCAGTTGGTGTAGTGAGCAGATTTCTTTCCAATCTAGGGAAGGTTCACTGAGAAGCAGTGAAATGGATTTTTAGATATTTGAAGGGTACCTCAAAAATATGCTTGACTTATGGAGTTTCACAACCAATTCTAGAATGGTTTATTGATGTTGACATGGGAGGCAATCTTGATGGTAGGAAATCTACTTCAGGGTATTTGTTCACTTTTACAGGAGGAGCTGTATCTTGACAATCTAAGTTACAGAAGTGTGTTACTTTGTCAACTACAGAGGTTGAGTATATTACAGGAATCGAAGCATGTAAAGAAATGCTTTGGATGAAACGTTTTCTTCTTGAATTGGAGTTGAATAAGAAAGAGTATGTGGTATTTTGTGATAGTCAGAGTGCTTTAGATTTGAGTAAGAATACCATGTAACATGCTAGAACAAAGCACATTGATGTTAGATATCATTGGTTACGTTCAGTGATTGAAGAACAGTAGATGCTATTGAAAAAAGTTCATACTGATAAAAATGTAGTAGATATGTTGACTAAGATACTTCTTAGGAAAAAGCTTGAGCTTTGCAGTAACTTGATTGGAATGAGTTCCCTGGCCAAGGTAAGTTCCAAATGAAACTGCTATGGTGATAAATCTCCTCCTAATGGGGCTGG